CTTAGGCTTAACACCAAGACGTAAATACTCTAAGTAAATTTGAATTTGAATTGCATTCATAGTATGTTTAATTTGCAATGAGTCTTTGGGAATTTTCTTACTTGGGGTATGATTGTGGCTTTATTTCTAAATATATATTTTTTTAGCGTCTGACGCTTTGACGATTTTTATTTATCTCCAGATTTTTGAAAAATAAAATAGAATTATTTTCTACTTTTAGTACACTAATAAAAGCGTGGTTTTTTTAATTTTTATTAATTATTATTTTCAACTTTACAACCTTTGATACTTTCCTTATTATACTATTATAATTATTATTATCAATGTTTCTCAAATTCAGTACAAGATTATGCTGTCTAAAGACTCGAAAATAAATTAACTGATAATTAAATTTTAAATATTAAAATATTGTATTGTCATCTCGGACACACAAGTATAAGAATTGGTAAAACTCTAACATGAAGTGAGTGAAGTACGGATTACAAAATTTTGTCTTCACAAACATGAAAAAAAACTAAATAAAGACGTGAAAAAAATACAAATCATTTATAGTATCTTGAACTATAAAGTAGTAATGTAACACAATACAAATAAAAATATTCACATTAAAGCGGTGAATTGTCGACATCATTGCTTAAAAAAAGCTATAGATTATTCTGAACTTAATTAATCATCCTTTAGTAGAAACATCTTATAGATAGCTACTTTGCAACGCTAACAATTTGAATTTTTGCTACAGAATACACATTTGCATCTCATTAGGAATAATTAGTATAGTTTTAAAGGGAGAATTATGCAAAACGAATGAACATAATATCGAATAGATTTTATATCGGCAAGCGACCATTTAAGGATGAAATGATTGCGAGTAATTGAGGGTTAAAAATTGATTTCTTTCTAAGAAATGCTACACTTACCCAATGACACGTCTGTGGTTAGCGCAAGATAATACTCTCAGCACAATGCACTCAAAGTTTTCTTGTTAACAAAGGCTAGCCGTTGATGTTGACAAAACCTAGACACACTTTCATCGTTGGTCAGGAATGTGCTTGCGAGTAAAAGTCATTTTCAGCTAATGTTTTTTGCGACTTGCATTTTGAAAGTCGTCCAAAGCAAAATTAGATTCTGGTGTCATTTGACTCGGACACCACGTGTGTGGAGGCAGCAATTTTCGTTTTGATTGTTTACGAAATTCGCTTCAAAATATTTATAAATAAACCCTCCAAATGTTTTGAAATTGAATCACTTAAAAAAATAATATGTTTGTTTATACTAATTTCTGTTACTTCTTTTAATTTTAATAGAAAACAGAAAATAAGCCCCATTGTTACAAATAAAGTAACCAGACGTCCCTGATTTAACAGGGACGCTTTTGATTTTAGTTGCTTTATCCCGGTTTTGAAAAAAAATAGTAGCAGTTGTTCCTTTTTCACTTGCAATTAAGGTATCCGACTGTGTTCGGAGACATTTTTTGGAAAAATAAGTTATATATATCTTTAATGTTATTTTTCAACTGCATATGTTTCAAAACTATGAAAATATTGTAAAATAAGGCTTTCAAAATAATATTGTTTTTAAAAACTGAGAAATTTGAAGAAAAATGGCTAAAATATTTGCCTAACGCTAACAGCCATAGGCAAAATCATACTCTAAATATACATAAATCCTTGTAGAAGTACATTTTTATGAAAGGTATCTGTGTTATGGTCTAAAATATTTCTTGTACTTCAAAATAGTTTTGAGATATAGCTGAAAATAGTTACTAAACTGGTAATTTTTCATAAAAAAATGCTTTTCGTTTATATTTAAGCACTTAAAAATAATACTTGATTTTAATATTGATCTTAGTTTTTAGAAGAAAACATCAAGCATATTACAGAAAACAATCTCAGAAAATTTGATATCAATACTTGAATAACTTTTTGAGAAATCATTGTTACGGTCGACAGTTTTCCTCAAAAATATCATTTCTCAGAAAACACATTTAAAGTTTTCATGCAACATAAAATAATGCTTACAGTTCGATAATAAAACAGCTGTAACTCCATTTGTAATTCACGTGAAGTAAAAGATGAGACAGTTTTAGAAAGCTGGTTAAACAGGCTACAAAATTAAGTCATATTTTTTTTTTTTTGATAATTTCATCAAAAACGACTATTTTAAACCAGTCGGATACCTTAAATAGTTTATATTAGCTCTCTACTAGTAGCAATATCTGACATATGCAGTCAGTTTTTATTAAGTATAAAATGCCCGATTTTTTAAAAATTGAATTAAAAATGCGTTTTGGTTTTCATTTCTTGAATAAAACATGGGAAAAATACTTTTAAAAAACCCTATTTTGGCTTAAGGCTAAAAAACAGTTTGTTACCAATGGACAACATTGGGCTTTAGTTGATGAAAACATTTCCTTGATAAAATTCTATAATGTCACACGTAGATGAATTTTAATATAATACGGATAAGGAATTCACTTCAACATTGTAGAATGAAATATGGTATTCTCAAGCGTACAAACAAAGCTAAAAAGATGCAGCCTCAAGTGAAAGCAATCAATTTATTTTTCATCAGCACTCAAGCTATCATCTATATGCTGTAAATTGATTTAATAAAAATTTCTTTATGCATCCTATAGGCAACAACAGGCATTAGAGCTTCAGCCTTATTCTCAAGATTTTAGAAGACAAAATTGGGTATGCTGCTTAAAGGCAACACTGGGCCTTTAAAGGTTAACTATTTTTAATGCATTACAATTTGGATCTTCTTACAGTATACTCACTTATAATCTCGTTAGGATAATTATTATAGTTATAAGGAGAAAAAATTATCCAAATAGGATGAGAATATGCAGGGTTAAAGTGGACCAAGTCCATGTGATTCACTTTTGAGAAAAACAGTTTCGAAGTTGATTAGCTGCATTTAAAATAGCAGTGGACTTCTAAATGTCCTTGCTCTCTGGTGAATGCGGATTCAAGTGTGGACTTTGAATGATTATTACACAGAAAATATAACATTTATACATTACCATGCAACTGTTAGTGCAAAATGGGCAAAACAAGGGCTTAGTCCCTTTTAACTCTTAACTCTCCATATCATAAAACATATTTTATATCCCCGAGATACAATACCACCATTTACGGATGAAAATGATTGCGACCAACGGAGGATTAAACTTTGGTAAAGACGAGATAAACTCTGAACTTTTCGTAACATAAAAACTTTAGTAAAGACGAAATTAACTCTGAACTTTCCATACCATAAAACAGACTTTATATCCGCCAAATACAATACGACTATTTAAAGATGAACATGATTGTGACTAACGAAGGTTTAATCTTTCGTGGAAACGAGATTGATTTGATGTAGTTGTTAAAAATTAGCTTCTGAAGTAATCCAGTGCAAATATTAAAATATTCTAACCGCTCCAAAGCAGAGTGGCGCAGTTGAAGCGTGCTGGGCCCATAACCCAGAGGTCCGTGGATCGAAATCACGCTCTGCTAGCGAACATTTTTTATTAGACTCCCATGCATAGCATGAAGGATACTTAAATGCAAACATTAATCTGTAAGTTGAATGCATGTTGCTGTGTGAAGCAGCT